GAGATTACTTACTGTCAAAATGGGAGCTGCAAGAGACAGAGATTTAACATTGATAATTCCTGCAAAAAGCCTATGCGTGCGATGAGCATAATCGATGAGCATAATCAATTCCAGGATCAGCGTGATATGCCCTATACACTTGGACATCAACCTTGGCTTTGCTTAGGGTTTTTGAATTCTTCAAAGAATAGGTGGCAAAAAAATTCTCCATGAGATCCAACGTTTCAAGCTGTGGAGCATTGACTGTGATAGAAACATTCCTCATCCAACTGCCCTTCAAACTTATTTGTAGTATTTTTAGTTTGGGTGCAGAAACATTTAATCTCAAGACAGAATCAGCGTCTCCGGGGATTTTCTCAACATGTCCATCTATAATCAAATCTTCAAGTGCAGGGCAACAAGAAAAGAGCTTCTTCATTGAGTCCGCATCCGGAAAGCAGACTGAAACGTGGAGGAACTTGAGATTTGGGAAACAATCCGAGTTCGGTGGGATGGCAACGATATTGAATTGCAGCCTCAACTTCAAAACCACCAGCGTCTTGCACATGAAAAGGGTTCTAGGCAACTCATAACGCTGCCATGGATTTGGGAACAACGAAAGATGGAGTTCGACGACATTACGCGTAATGGCAGTGCAAATCCACTCATCAAGATGAGAAAAATATTTGTGTGCCACATAACAATTAAGATGGAACCGATGAATTCTTGACGAGCCACGAGATGAAAGTACTCGATCCACAAATCCTGGACAACATGTGTAGTCAGATTTTGGTGAACATATAAGCAACTTTAGATTGGGAACCGAAGCCCACAAATTCTTCCATCTGTGTGATAAGACGCAGGTTTTTACAGCTGTGATTGTGTAAAGGAAGGAAAGAATGTGGCAAAGAACTTCATCCGGTAATCCACTGATCCTGTCTTCATCAATGCATGCTTGATGAGGCTTTGAGTTCGAAGCCATTTACGTTTCCTGAGAAGTGTAATGCCAATTACGGTTCAAATCAAACAACCATGTAACTTTCTGACACATTCAAATGATAGCCTAATTAGGATCAGTGGATTGAGATAGCTTTAAAGTTTTATTGATATGAATATAGGGATAACAATACCAATACTACCTCAAGTCCTAGAAACTCTTATTAAAAAACAAAAGCAGAGTAAATTCCAAAATCATTTTTAAAACTTAAAAGATTGTTTTAAGTTAGCAATCATCAGCGTAAAAAGCCCATATATATGTCACATCAAAGTGGTGAGTTGCACTCGTCTTGCCGTTCTTGACATGCTGTGTTGTTTTTGCGGTCAAACTGTTTCTCGATCATCTAGATGTTCTACGCCACTTTAGTTGCTTAAGAAGCACTTTAGTGTATCCAATTGATCCATAATAAAGGGAGAAACAAAGGATTATTCACCTATGGTTGGTACCTATTAAACTAGAGAAAATTTTCTCCATAACAATCTTCACACTCCAAACTAATGGAAAACTCTCCTTAACACTCATTTAAAAGCAATTCCGATAAAATATTTTCACTTTAACTTCCATAAACAGCAGAATTACTTGACCAAAAAAACAAATAGCAGAATTAAAATTGGCACTATGTTTTCTTTTCGTTTGCCTGCGTGTTAACTTGGTATCCAAACAGAGGATAAGAAGAAAGATTAAAAAGAAGATATTTCAGAAAACGGAAAAATACCTGATATGGTTCTCGGTTGGTAGAACCCAATTGTAGTTTTATTGCCCTGCTTTACTCTGTTTGCTTGCTGAGAAACAGCAGGAAAATAAAGTAACATCAGAACAGGGGAAACACCTAGATTCCATAATATTGAATATTCATCTCTTATAATAAACAAAATATAATCCCCTTCCTATGGAAGGTGTATATATATATATATATATATATATATAGCACAGTCCTGGTATGTTAGGGCTGTATCATATAAGACGCGATCACCAAGTAACCTGATATGATTAGACTTACTATCATTATGTATACAGAGGAGATAATCAACTCAGGTTGAGTTTTATCACTTCATGTGACAGATAATGAGTTCATTAGTTATTTACCAGATTAATTGATATAACTAGTACACAAAATTAAGCTTGCTAGCAATAACCAAAATAAATGGTCCCTTCAACACTTTAAAAAAGGTCATCCAACTTAATACTTAACCCTAGTACATCTATACACACACCCCACCACTCTTCATATTAAGAACGATAAGGGCATAAATCTGTTTTATGTGCATATATATGCATGGTTGCAATGCTTTATTAGAAATCGAGGGCTCTAAATATGGGTCTCTAATATTGGAGATGTTCTTGATACACAGTTCCTATGTATTTCTTAAATAATGTTAACTGTTGTAGATTTTATTGTTCACGAATCACATAGTTTCGCTATTTACTTGTCTATGCGTTTGAATAGTTTTCGTCCGAAATCTTTATTTTGTTTCCCAAATTATTTTATCTTCGGATCGTATACCATAAACATGTTTTTGGTGAATTTCTTTGCAAAACTGATTATCTATAATAAAGCCATACGCCAATTCCTCCAAAACTGCTAATAAATTCACGTTTCATCGAAAAAGAAAGTACCCTATTCACAAATGTTGTAATGGGGTTCCACATATATGATATATCATAAGACCTAGGACTTGAGTTCCAAAAGTTCAACTTGGCAAGTCTTTGAACCCCTTGGGAACTTCGAAAGTTCCTGCAGTAACCTCATCTCTTCTGCTACAACCAAATCATTGGTATAACAAATTGTCACCTTAGTCAAAACCTCGCCGTGCTTCAGCAAATACTTTGCCACCTCCATCTCGGATGGCCGCCCGTAGAATCCCCGTATGCAAATAGTTTTGAGGCTGGACAACAAGCAAACAGGCACAGATTCTGGTGGACGCCACTTATGTGCTACCAGATAACCCTCAGCATGTTTCCAACACCACTGTATGTTCTAGAGATTATTCAAAATTAAGGAGTTAAATAACATGTTTCGAAATTGTATATTGGTAACCGTTTTAACAAAAGGGTTATAATTTATAAACGTTACGTATACTTACCTTTTTGAACACCAGATGTTCCAGTTTGGGGGACACGTCGAGCCACTTTGTCAATGACTTCCAGGCACAGCAAGTTTGAAGATGTAGCTTCAAGTGGTTCAAATTATGAAACTTAGGCAGACGATATCGATGAATAACGTCAGGACCCTTCAGGCAATGATCAAGTAGAAATAAGTCAATCAAGGACGCATATATAAAAGAAAAGATGCTAATATTAGAGCTTACTTACCTCCGAAATTGGAGCTGAAAATGACAAATATGTAACCTTGTTAATTCCTGCTAAAAGGCTACTTAATTGATCAGCATAATGAGGCAATTGCCGTAAGTACGTATCTCCGGGGTAACCCGTTGCAGGCACTCGGAGAGCGATTTTCGCTTTGCTGAGTGATTCTGCATTCTTCCAAAATTTATCCTCCGGATTCCAACCATTAGGATGATTACATTTTCTGTCCAGAATGACATACAAATTTATTTCTAGTCTTTTCAGTTTAGGCGCAAAGACATTAAATAGAAAAGCTGGTTTATGGTGAACAAATCCATCTATAATCAAATCTTCAAGTACAGGACAACAAGAAAAGAGGTTCCGAGTTGAGTCATAAAAAGTACGGTAGAGTGTTGAGCTATAAAAAGGACGGTAGAGTGTGACATGCATAAACTTGAGACTAGGGAAACAATTTGATGTTGGAGGCTTGGTAATCAGATTTGATTTCACCCTCAGTCTCAAAACCTCCAATGTGTTGCACATAAAAAGGCTTCTAGGCAACTCAAAACTACTCTGGTGCGAATACGAGAGCAAGCAAAGATCAAGTTCCACAACTTTACGCGAAATAGCAGTGCAAATCCAAGCATCAATCCGGGAAAAATAATCCTCGATATCAGCACACTCGAGCCGCAATCTATGAATGTATGAGGAGCCACCAAGGGCAAGTACTCGATCCACGAACCCCGCGCAACGATCTGAGACCATATTTGGTGACTGAACACAGAAGTCAAAGCTAGAAACAGAAGCCAACACATTTTTCCATCTGTGTGATAAAATGCTGGTCTTCGCAGCTTCCTTTGTGTAAAGGAAAGAAAGTATGTGGCAAAGAATTTCATCTGGCAATCCACTGATCCGATCTTCCATGCATGTATTCCAACCCATTTATGATGCGATTTGTTTTCTCAAAAAAATAATGGGGGGTGCTGGTTCATGTCCTCTTGGCTATATAGGTTGTGCTTTTCTGAATTTGTTGTTATTTAAAAGCAAAATAATTCCTAAGAAAGAATTTTTAATTACTTGTTGTGATAGTTCTATAATTCTTATTCAAGATGAAGTATATAGAAACACTAATTAAGTAAGTACATAACAAAGTGTTAGGGGGAAGATAAGAATGATTAGGGCAGTGTAGCATTTTAATTGGAAGACGAAATCTACAATCCTCTGTCAGGTTGCCAAAGTTGAATCGGAGTTGGATAGTTTATTACTACTAACTTACGAATTTATACTTAGATTAATAAATAATATTTATCATAAATGGATTGGTAACCCAATATGATTAGACTTCTTTACATAGAGATTTACCACAAATTATGTTTTAGAGAGTCTAGAGATAATATCATAATAAAAAACCTATAATTATTTTATAATTAATTATGAAGTTACTGATGCCAAACTTTGTTTTTTGGTGTGTGTTTAGCTGGGCCTCAACCTTGCTCGAAATACCAGTAACAACTCGTATACTTTTTCTGTACCAATTTCCTTTGTACATTACAGAAAAAAGGTTACCAGATATTTGTGTCTGAGTTTTCTCACTAGCAAACTCACAACTTAGTTTCAGAGACGAAGCTAATTCATACTATTACGCCACAATTCAATTGAGTTAGAAACATAAAGTACTCCAAATACATTCATGTTTTATCGACAAAGAAAGGATCCATTCACAACCTTGGAAATGGAAACCATATAATTAAAACCTAGAAGTTCTCAGTGCACACCTTCGGGAATATAATTTCGCACGTCTGTGAAACCCTCGGGAACTTCTGAACTTCATCCCATAACTTCTTCTCTTCTCTTAAATATGTAGCTCTAGTACAGAATATCATGTAATCCAAAACCTCACTGTGCTTCAACAAGTACTCTGCCACTTTCATCTCATCTGACCGCCGACGGATCTTTGCATTCGAACAGTCTTCAGGTGTGACAACAAACAAATAGGAACAGACTCAGGTGGAGTCCATTCATGTACTAATTCATCCTTGTCGTGCTGTTTGAGACATTTGGCGTGCTAAAGATTATTCAGAACAAACGAGTTAAATTAAAGTATACTTGAAAAATTGTATTTATGGATAACATTTAGCGTAGGGTACATCCACATAAACTAACCTTATTGAAGGTAAGAGATTCCAGATTGGGCGATGCATAGAGAAAGTTTATCAATGATTGCCAAGAGCAGCAACTCTGGAAAAGTAGCACCAGGCGTTTTAAATTATTCAACATAGGTAGACGATAGCGATATACAATGCGGGGATCCTTCACAAATGACAAGTATTGATCAATCAAAGACTAGAAAAATCAAATATTTCCTCAGGGTAATATAGCATTACAATTGATAAATCGAAGCGTGTAAAAAGGCTGTGAGACACTAAGGGAACCAGTTAGAGCATACTTACCCCAAAAATAGGTGCTGAAACCACCAGATATTCGACGTTGCCAATTCCTGCAAAATGCCTGTGTAAAAGCTCAGCAGCATCAGATCCCGCATGCAGGCCCTCAAAATTATTCTTGGCTATCTTTAGGGATTTTGCATCCTTTGAAGAAAAGACTGCCAAAACATTGCCGTCGAAACTGAACTTTTCAAGATTTGGAGTATTGGCATTAATAAAAGTCTTGTAATCATAATATTCACCAATTATACAGAGTAACACATTCATACGCAGTCTCTTTAAATGTGGTGCAGAAATATTTACATTCAAAACGGAACCTCCATCAGGTTCTGCCTCAATAGTCAAATCTTCAAGTACAGGGCAACAAGTAAAGAGCTTCCCCATTGAGTCAGCAGCATCAGGACATGCTACATTAACATGGAGGAACTTGAGACTTGGGAAACAATCGGAGTGAGGAGCAAAGGTAATAATTGAGGGCAGCTTCAGCTTCAAAACCACCAATGTTTTACACATGTAAAGGCTTCTTGGCAACTCAAAAGGTTTGGATGAAAATGAGTCCCGAGCAAGATCAACATCGAGTTCAACAACATTATGGGTAATGGCAGTGCAAATCCAATCATCCAACCATGGAAATTCTGCCATGTACTTAGTATGCAGACGGAATCTATGAATGCTCGAGTTGCCCCGTGAGGAAAGTACATGATCCACAAACCCTGCAAAACGCTCCTGATCAAATTCTTCTATATCGTCACATAGGTCGATATTGGGAACAGAAGCCCACACATGGTTCCATCTATGTGATAAAATGGTGGTCCTAACAGCCTGGACTGTTGGAAGGAAGGAAAGAATGTGGCAAAGAATTTCATCTGGTAATCCACTGATTCTATCTTCAGTGCATGCTGGACTTTGAAGTTTTGAATTCGAACGCATTGTCGATTTCTCACGTTTTCTGTAAAAATCCAAAGACCAATTTGGCTTCTAAGAGAGTTATCTATGGATACCCATTAAACTGGAGAAATCAAAAGTTGAATTCCAAGAAATCCCCAAATAACATTTTCACGAAATTTCTTTGATGTGCCAGTTTCCACATTGAAAAAAAAAACACAGATGATATATATATATATATACACACACAAGAATAACGATAATCAAAAGTTTCTTTCTGGGTTTTTCATGGCATGCAGACAGAGAATATATACACACAAGAATAACGATATGACAAACGAAATAATACTTCAGAAAATGAAAAATACCTCATATGAGTGAGGACTCGTGGAGCCTAGCGAACTGGTTCTGTTTGGTTGCTGACAAACCACGGGAAAAGAAAGGAAGATGAGAAAGCGGCCAGTTCTATACCTTTCTCTTCGGAATGTGAGATTTGGGGCCAACGCTTGCGCGGGATTTTAATTTTTAGGTACTCAGAAAGCCAATTTTGTTGAAATTTGGGCTTAAAATTGGGTTTTGAGGTCTACAATTGAAAGACCTTGCTCATGCATCCTGGCCCAAATTCATTAGCTACCTAATCTTTCGGCCCAGCCAAGTTCCTTTTGTTTCGGTAACCATAGAAAAAGAATTTTATCTTGAGAAAAAATTTAAAAAAAAACCTGCTAAATTTAAACCGACTAATTTCATTAGAAAACTCTATTGGGTACTTTGCGCTAATAGTTTTTTGCCTTCTTCAACAATATTTTTCCAACTATTTTAGATGAAATCCTATTATTGGGGGAAAAGTATGAAAAACGGAAAACCGAAAAAAGATTTTTGAATATAAGCGATAATCTAAACTACAAAAAGGGGAGGGGGTTTCTAACACACACACTTACCAATGCAGGTGTCATTAGTCTGCAAATTAATGTCATTTTCCACACTACATTGGCATACAAATTTAAAAAATAAAAGAAAAAAGGGTTTGACATGAGGGTATTGCTTGTGTTGCGGGTTTGACTTTGCTCATACTAACAACGAGAATTGAGAATAGCACTAGAGCAAGCAATGACTAATTTGTTTTTATTTAGTTTCCTTGGTTATGTGCAATAACCATAATCTAATTCCTCCAAAGTGAAAAGGAGCTAAAACAAAGAATACAAGAAGAGTTGAAAGCAATATATACAGCAAAATAAATACATGTTCTTATCAACATAGAAATGATCCACTCGATAATCCCAAACAGAGTTCATATGAAACCTCATTTGAGTTTGGGAAATACAATTTGACAAGTCTTTGAAGCCCTTGGGAACTTTGAAATTGTCTGCAACAACTTTACCTCTTCTCTCAGACCTAGCAAAGGGAACTTCATCTCTTTTTCTTCACAGAAATACTCAAGGGTACAAATTGTCATGGTGTTCACAACAGCACCGTACTTTAACAAGTACTCCACCACTTCCATCTCATCCGGCAGCCCCTGGAATCCCCGTATGCGAATAGTCTTGAGGTGTGACAACAAACAAGCAGGCACAAAATCTGGTGGACTCCATTCATGTACTGACTCGTCCACGAAATGGCACACATAACAGTGGATGCTCTAAAAACGGTTTAAAATATAAATGAGTTGAATGAACATCTTAAAAGATTGAATATAAGTACAGTCTAGCGTGTACTTACATTCTCAAAGACTAGATGTTCCAATTTGGGAGATATCTGCAGAAAATTTGTGACCGATCGCAACGAGCAGCAATTTTGAAGAAGTAACTCCAACTGGTTCAAATTGTTAAATGTTGGGAGATGATATTGATACACGCTGCAGGGACCCTTCACAAATGATAAAAGTAAATATATTTGCATCCCATTCATAAACTCCAGCACGTAAAAAAGTTATCAGTCACTTAGGGAACAAGTTAGAGCATCATTACCCCGAAAACTGGAGCTGAAAGTGACAGAAATTTAACATTGCGAATTTCGGCAAAGAGCCATTGTATGTGATCGGCAGAATCACGGACAGTGCCAAACTTCTCCCCAGAATGCAGGTTTACCAAATCAATCTTGGCCCTGCTTAGGGAATGTGCATTATTCAGGGAATAGTTTGCCAAAATATTCTCCTGCAGATTAAACTCTTCCAGGCTTGGAACATTAGCATTAATAAAAACTTTTCGATCATAATTTCGATGAAATGGAACGATATACCAACTTATTCTTAATCTTTTTAGTTTCGGTGCAGAGACTTCAAAAGTCAGCACTGAATCATATCCAGGTTCTCCCTCTATAACCAAATCTTCAAGAGCAGGGCAACATGAAAAGAGCTTCTCCATTGAGTCAGCATCAGGAAGCACGACATCAACATGGAGGAACTTGAGACTTGGGAAACAATCTGAGGCAGGTGCAAGGGCAATAAAATTTGATTGCAGCCTCAGCTTCAAAACCACCAGTGTTTTGCACATGAAAAGGCTTCTAGGCAACACGAAAGGCTGCGGTGGATTCGAGTACTCGTACAGCTCAAGGTCGAGTTCGACAACATTACGCATAATGGCAGTGCGAATCCAAGCATCAATACGAGAAAAATCCTTCATTTCCAGACACAAAAGGCGGAATCTATGAATGCTGGAGGAGCCACGAAAGAAAAGTACCCGATCCACAAACCCGGAGAAGCCATCTGGATCAGATTTTTTCAAACGTCTTTCTAATGGATAATATTCTCTGTCACGCAAGTACAGATTTGGAACAGAAGTCCACTGATTCTTCCACCTGTGTGATAAAACACTGGTCCTCACAGCCTCTCTTGTCAAAAGGAAGGAGAGAATATGGGAAATGATTGCATCTGGTAATCCACTGATCCTATCTTCATGGCATGCTTCACGAGACTTTGAATTCGAACCCATTTTCGATCATGTGATACGTTTCCTGAAAACCCAAAAAAATATAAATTAATCTGCTACTCTGAATTTGAACCCAAACATACAAACAACCACTTTAATCATTGCATGTGTGTATGCAACAAGCTTAATATAATATAATGGGGTTCATGTTTTCTTTGCCATACGAGAAAACATTCCTGAGAAAGTTTCCTTAAGAGAGACAAGATTTGAAATAAAAGTCAACACCAGAGTTTCAGGGGAAAATCTCCTTAGAAATGATTTCAAACAAAATCCCACAAGATAAAAAATTCAGGAGAGCTTTTTCCCTCAATTTCTGTGTTGTCCACAACAGAAAAATAGTAAGATTTATGAAAACAGAGGATATACAAATCAGAAAAACAAGAACACAGAGGATATACAGATAATTCCAATACAAGAAAAGAGAGGAGATTTTTTTTTTTTTTTTGGGTAACAAAACAGAGGAGATATTCAGAAAAGGGAAAGTGAACCTGATGATGAGATTCTCCATTGGTTTAATCTGTTTTCTCTGTTTGCTTGCTGAGAAAAATGAGGAAAAGAAAGGAAGATGAGAGACGAGGTCACTTCACTTTCAGTGTTCCACCACGTTTATCTCCGGGAAGACTGGAAATTGTGTGGTATGTGTGAGACTGTGACAGCTGACCAAACACGAACCGAAGCTGAAAGTACTAAATGACAAAACAACAAGGTTTTACAATTTAGTGCCCGTTTGGCATTGCTTATTTGGGGTGATAAGTGATTTTTTAAACTTTTGGGAAGTCCAACCCGTTTGGTAAACTGTGAGAAAATCAATTATTGTTAAAAATTACAGTAAGAGAAAGCTATAAGGGAAAGCAGCTAATGAGGTGCTTTCATTTTCTGATTATGTAGGAATGAGTTTCGAAGAGGCGCTGGGTTTAATGATTATGCGGCAATCATTTTCTGATTATGCTGTAATTAGTACCAATAATACTTTTATAACAAAAAGTTTACCAAATGCCAAACTGCTTTCTCTCACAGCTGATTTCTCTCACAGCAAATCTGACAGCAATTATTTTTGCAGCACAGCAATGCTAAACTGGCCCTTACTTTCTTTCTCTCACACCCTTTTCTCTGGTCCATCTTTTATTCCTCCCTAGTGTTTTTTTTATTTTTCGTTCTTTGGACAAAATGATTACTTCTCTACCCCGAGCTAAAAAACTTATCTATAACGGAGATAACAGTGTTTTGCTAGTTCCGCCCAATAACACAATGACACGTGAAAAAGTTATCCTACGTAGCACTGCATTATTGACTGGGAATAGTAAAAAGTGCTATCCCTATTACATGAGAGTTTCTCTCCTTGCTAAGTACAATAATTGGGTAATGACGTGATCCATTATGTTACAAATACATGTCATTGTAAATTAGGCATACTTCTACATCACTCCCTTGACGTCTTGATTGGTTAGATTGATACTTTATGTCTCACTTTATTTTACAGTCTGTCGAATATGGTTAGTTCGACAAAATATCGGTTAAAAAGCCCCTCTTTGCTCAAATCAGATTTAAAAAATTATATTAAAAATTTGCTAATTCAACTAAAAAATTTAAAAAACAAAACTTGTCAGTGATGAGCAGCAAGTGTGAAGAAAACTCCAAGTGGTTCAAATTATTTATAAATGTAGGCAGATGATAATATTGACGCACGCTGTAGGGACAAAAAATGACACAAGTGTAGCTTAATCATAGACTGGAGCAAATTAAATATTCCTTGGCATGTTATAGAATTTCCATCGATTCCCAGCTAGGGTATATGCATTCGTTGGATTCATGTTATAGTGTCGCGAAGTAAATCTTTAAGATGTCACAGAGAAAGATTTCTGCATGAAGCCTTGTTTCATAACCATTTCAATTTTAGTTTGAAAACGGAATCCACAAAAAACCTAGATACCACTATTTTGGAAATTAAATTTGACAAGTCTCTGAAGCCATGGGGAACATTGAAATCTCCTGGCATAACTCCATCTCGTCTTCTATAGTGAAATCATGAGTATAAATTATCACGTTATTCAAGACCTCAAGACCTCACCGTGCTTGAACAAGTACTTTACCACTTCCATCTCATCCGGCCGTCCTTTGAATCCCCGTATGCAAATGGTCTCGAGGCATGACGCCATACATGGGGTACATGGAGTACGAAGTCATCCCCTTGTTATCTTTGTGAGGAGTCCGATTGAGGCTGATATCAGTTATTACCATCACTCCCACCTCAGATTGTTTCCCAAGTCTCAAGGTTCTCCATCTTACTGTCTGTCATCCTGATACCGACTCAATGGAGAAACTCATTTCTTGTTGCCCTGTACTTGAAGATTTGATTATAGTTGGGTCACTTCAAGAATTTTCATATTTAGAATTTAATATCTCCGCACTGAAACCATTTGGTTCTGATTTCCATCTCTGTGATAAAATGCTGGTCTTTACAGCCACGTCTGTTCCAAGGAACGAAAGAATGTGGCAAAGAATTTCATCTGGTAATCCACTGATCCTATCCTCAGTGCATGCTT